TTACAAATGTGAATATCTAATTCCTTCAACACATTGTTCTCTTTATAATTTACTTCAGCATACTTCTTTATTTTTTCCTCTTATGCTACTTTTAGCTTTTAGCTAGTCTAGTTAATACTCTTCACTTACAGCTAGCGTTTTGTTAATTTAAAATAGCATTTAGCTACTTTAGCTTTTAGCTTGTCGTTTGCTACTCTCACGTAGCCTTTTGCTACTTTAGCAATTAATTAGCCATTTGCTAATTCTAGATCGCATTTAGCTACTTTAGATTTTAGTTTGCCTTTTTCTACTGTAGCTTTTTGCTACTTTAGCTATTGACTAGCCTTTTGCAACTTTTAGATAGCATTTTGAAAGGCTACATTAGCTTTAAGCTTGCCTTTTGCTACATTAAGGAGCCTTTTGTTACTTTAGCAATTAGCTAGCCTTTTAAATCTTTTCACCTCTAGCTTCTGTTAACTAGCCTTTCACTACTTACAGCTTTAAACTTTAAGCTACTTTTGGATTTCATTTGGGATTCTTTTCTTTTAACGACATATCGTTATGCTCCTAATCAATTTCAGCTTCTTCAACAAATATCTCTAGAAATACTATTAATAACTGCACTTTGTTAGGTTAGACGCTGCAAAGCTGGTTTCAAACAGACCAATGGCTGGATCAGTGACCGGACCGATCGATGGACTATACGATGATCGTGTTTCAGATCAAACACAAGAAGATAAGTCCGTCCGTCTCCTTTAATCCACAGAGTATTCATCAAACAACACAATCTCTAATTCAGTCTCAGAGTCTGGCAAAACGATTACACACTCCAAAGCCTTTAAATTGAATGTAATAGCTCTGGAAGTGTCAATAAAGCCTCCAGCAGTCCAAATCCCATTTATAATTTGTTTTTCATTTAAATGCCTTAACTTGTGTTTCATTTCAGCGTCTTGAGCTGAAGCACATTTGACAAACAGAAGTAGCTGCAAAAACCGAGAGCAATTTCCATGACAAGTGTGGAAAATAAATACAATAAAATGTGCTGTTCAGTTTGGATGGGAGGAGGGACCCATTGAGCTGCAGGGCACAGAGTTTGGTCAAAGATGGAAAACAATCCTGACGGTTCTGTTTGGAAGCACAAGACTCATGAGCATAGGACACCTTTGATCCATTTCAGGATACTCGTTCGGTTACAAGTCGGGGATTACACACTGGAGAAGGTTTGTTTATCCCTACAACAGTGTCTCAATCTCCAGAAGTTTGACAGCCATTCCAAAGACCGCCGGGCCGTTTGTCCCCCTGATAGCGAACGCGGCTGCTGTCCTGGTGCTTCTGCTTCTGAAGAGCAGAGCTCAGCAGCCGACAGCTGGCTCCACCAGTGAGGAACTGGTTGTTAATAAATGACAAACACTTGTTCCATTTTTACTCTCCTGTCCTCACGCAGTTTGGGAACAATGGCACGATGCAAACAAAAACAAAACATAGCCAGAATATAAGTTTCCATGCAGCTTGGTTTAAATATTTACACCCGTTGTTGCAGTCTAAACACTTTGCACTTGATAAGGACCACACATGACGGGCACCGTCTCTGGGAAGCCACTTGTTGATACCGCAGTGTTAACTTTTCGGCTGGCACAAAAGCCCATTTACATGCACAACAGATTCTGCAGATTCTTTTGGTTATAAAAAAGAGAAAGAGACACAAAGAGCATCGGGAGGGGGAAAGTGACATGTCTTAGACTCTACCGCAGACCGGCTGGCAGGACGAGAAACGACACGCAACAAACACAGCGCTGACCGTGAAGTGACCGCTGAGCCATAGCGCGCTGTGGCTCCAAAGTGTGTTTGACAAATGACTCAGCTGTTTGAATCCAACTCCCTGGCTCCAGCAATAAATCATGAGCTATTTTTTTTTTCAGCCACAATGAAGCTATAGAAGTGGATAAATACGCTTGTTTGTAGGCCTGTCGCGATAAACAATAAATCAATTAATCGCATGATAATAAATTATCAACCTCATTTTCATTTATCGGCTTTATCGTTTCTTCGTGTCTCTCTCCGTACTGAAGACAATGTATGACAAAAAGCTCAACTCTGGTGTTCTTCACTGACCCTTCCCTTTCTCTTTAAAATACATTTTAACCGTCCAGAATTGCGTTTTTGGATCGTTAAAAGCAGCTAAGCTGAGAAGCTAAGCTAAGAGCTAAGAGCTAAGCTAACAGGCCGACCTTGAGAAAAAGTCTGCATCTTATCAAAGCTCCAAAATTCACAAGTGAAACCCGTGCCTTCGTGTAAAAGGTTTTTCTCTACAAAAAGAAGCTGAGAACTTGTTTACTAGGCCTGTCACGATAACAAATTTTGCTGGGCGATTAATTGTCTCAGAAATTATTGCGATAAACGATAATATTGTTTGAAATTTGACAATAATTATTAATGTCAAATTTAATAATAAATACTGGTTATTTTTTGTGTGTAGTACCCTTTTTGGAACTGAAGGATGGATAGTGAGGGAGCGAACAGCGTGTCTCTAAGAAAAATGGGAGAGAGGCCCCTTGACGTGACATGGGCTGTCTCTCTTTGGTTCTCAACATGGCGGACGCTCGGTGTGGTTTGAGCTCTTTAGCACAGCATTTTTCACACAAAGCTTTTAATAAAAAAAAAAATCAGTAAACAAGTTCTCAGCTTCTTTTTGCCAACAAAAACAACTTTTTACACGAAGGCACGAGTTTCAACCGTGAATTTTAGAGCTTCGACAAGACGGAGGTTTCTTCCCGAGGTCGGCCTGTTAGCTTAGCTTCTCAGCTTAGCTATTTTTAACGAGCCAAAAACAGGATTTTGGATGGTTAAAATGGATTTTAAAAAGAAAAGAGAAAGGGAAGGGTCAGTGAAGAGCACCAGGGTTGAACCTTTTGTCATCCAGTGTCTTCAGTAGAAAGAGAGAGACGAACAAACAATAAAGCTGATAAATGAAAATGAGGTTGATAATTTTCATTTATCATGTGATTAATTGATTTATTGTTTATTGGGAAAGGCTTAATGTTTACTGATTTTTTTAAAAATTAAAAGCTTTGTGTGAAAAATGCTATGCTAAAGAGCTCAAACCACACCGAGCATCCGTCATTTTGAGAACCAAAGAGAGACAGCCCATGTCACATCAAGGGGCCTCTCTCCCATTTGTTCTTAAAGAGACACGCTGTTCGCTCCCTCACCATCCATCCTTCAGGTTAAACAGTCTTATACTGCCATCCGGTGGTTGAAAAAAGATACTACATGCAAAACAAATTAAACCTTTCTTCTTAAATTTGACAATAATTACTAATTATTGTCAAATTTCAAACAATATTATCATTTATCACAATAATTTCTAATCACCCAGCAAAATGTGTTCTTGTGACCTAGTTGTCTGTGTCATTTACAGAGACTCCAAGGTACACACTCGC